AGGAGAGAGTGGCTGACATATCCGGTTATTTGTGTCTGGGGATTTCCAGGGCTGAAAGGGGCGGAGCTATGTGGGTTCCTTTTTCTTCTAGGTTGGTTGCTCCCCTAAGTCCTTGCTCAGAGTCCTCACAATGAACATTCCCAAGACTTAGAGGCCTGTCTGTTCATATACGGCCTTTAATTCCCTAATACTATCAAATGGTCACCTATGGCTGACAGTACCTGAGGGATTCTGCGTTGTCTGTACTGTTATGATTTGAGTGGTTCCTTCCATCCTCACGGTCCTCGGCTTGACTGTTTGCATGACCTGGAATTTATCCCTGTGGTAACCTCAGGCTGACCCCTTAGACCAGGTGCCTTACCTCCTTGAGATGTCTTAAAAGGAAATGAGTGGGACTCATCATCTCAGAATTTCCTGGTTTGCCAGGGAGAGACACCAATGGCAGGGCTTCGTGTAGCTCCAACTGTTCTGGGACGAGTACCATCATCCCTGTTTAGGGTCAGCAGTGTGACTCCTATTAAACATCCTCTGCTGAATAGGGTTGTTCCCATTAGAATAAGGCTCTCACTTCCTTGAGACCACTGCCAGAGGAACTGAGGGGGCACTTCAGTCTGAGAGTTCTGCCCTGGTCCTCCTAGGGCTGACAATAGGGACAGGACACTGCATTCCCACTGTTCTTGGGTGAGGGGTCTCCTCTATCCTCCCTCAGCATCTTTACCTTGACTCCTACCTAATGAAATCTGAAACTCCACTCTCCACTGACTCAAGGCTGCACTCCTCTGACCAAGGCCATATCTTCCTGGAATCTCCCAAATGGAAGTTAGGAACAGTCACATCTGGCCACAGTTATTGAGGATCCTCTGAGGAATAATAGCAGGGTCAGAATCCGACAAGATTCCACTGTTTTGGAGTCAGTGGCTCCCTCAGTTCTCACTCAGGGTTCTAACATGGATTTGGGGATGTGGAACTCCTTCCTCTACTAAGCTGAGTCTGCCAGCCTCAAGCCAAAGCTTTTCCTTTACTGAGAAACCAGAGGGGGAAGTCAGGGTGCTACTCCTTGGCTACCCCACATGGGCAGAATCGGAGCTACTGCCATGAGATCAAAGCCTTTATCTCCCTGGGGCACCAGTAGAAGCCCTAGAGAAAATGAGGAGGAGCCTCAACCAGATAGCCCTGCCTATGGCCACCCAAGGCAGAAAGCAAGATAAAGCTTTAAGAGCCCCTACTGTTCTGGGTGGATCATTCCTCATTTCTCATTCAGAGTCCTCTTCTTGATAGTTTTCAGAGGCTGAGATCCTCCTCCCAATAACCAGAGCACACCACCCTTAGACCAGGACTCTTATGTACCTGAGAACCTTGAATAAATAGAGAAATTTTAGCTTGCTGCTATAGCTTGGGCCTTCTAGATCTGAGAGTAGGCAGGGCCTGGTCTCTCAGTGACCCCGATATTCTGAGGCAGTGATCTCCAGAATCCTCATTTATGGGGGTTCTCATCATGCCTCTTTTCTGTTTAAGCCTGCTGGGAAATGTCACACACCTGCAAACA